ATAATGGAATCAGTGAACTTATTATATATAAATAATTGTAAGTTGCTTTTCATTTATATATAATGATTTTTTTTTATAAATAATTGTAAGTTATTTTTCATTATTTATATATAATGATGTGTTACCCCTTCCTTATTTATATATAATGAAGCCAGTAATCATTATTTATATATAATGAAATCAGTGAACTTATTATATATAAATAATTGTAAGTTGCTTTTCATTTATATATAATGATTTTTTACCTTTTCATTTTTTATATATAATGTAATTAGCGAACTTAATATATATAAATAATGTTTGGTTAGCCTTTTATTATTTATATATAATGTAATCAATAAACTAATTATATATATATAATGAAACGTTAACGCAATTATTTACATATAATCTTTTAGACGTAAATGCATTATATATAAATAATGGGTGATCTATTCAATTATATGTTAAATAATGAATTATATATAAATAATTGTGTTAAATAATAAATTTACATTTGGCGCCTCATACATTTGTACCCCTAGCTATCCGAAATGAAATAGTAGACTCCAAACAGACGTAGTGTGGTTATGGAGATCGAACAGGACCGAAGCCTGTTTTTGGCATACTTTATATACCTGGGTACTGCTATCACTTTAGAGAGGTCTGGATTCGCGCCTACCTCTAGTTTCCCGGAAATTGCACTCTCATACTTTATTAACAATACAATTATTTTTCTTAATACAATTTAGGGGGATGCGACCGCACCGTCTCTGCATCCGCCCCAGCTATCTTATCCGAGATTAATCAGTGGACCTTTCAGCTATTATACTATATTACACCTATGCCATAAAAACACTCGCCATGGACCCTACCGGGATCCTGCCCGGATCCTGTCCATGCTGTCCTTTGGTTTGGAACCCCTCCCCCTTGTCGAACTTAATTCATTAAAAAAGTAACAAAAACGGAAGTCACGCCATCACTTATTGTGGCTAACACTTTAGACTTTGATGTTTACCGATAACCGCATAGAGGTACATGATTCATAAGGGAAAATACAATAACAGACCGAGGCAATGTAAATGTTGAATTACTGAATCAATAGGAACTGACAAAACATACCGTAGCGTAAGAGAAACGTGCTGTTTTTCATTAACTGAGTTTATTATTCGCGTTTCTACGTCAGTGTAGACTAAAAGTCGATAGGTCGTGAAGTTTAATGAACCAAACGGTTATTTCATGTTTTTGTTTATTCTACTGTCATTCTTGTATCTCTTTATTATTTATCTTTCTTTGTTACAGTACCATAACAGATTACATTAATCATTAACTGCGAACATAGTGAGTTTTTGAACTTGACAATTATCTAAAATATTGTTTGAAGGTAAATTTTTGCACGAAAACCATGGTAGTATGGCAAACATTGAGGCTGTGGTGAGGGACTCAAGGACGTAATAGAAAGGGAGTGGGGTCGAGATTGAGACGAGTGTAATGAACCTTTCCCGAGTTTCAATCAAACTCAACAACTGACCAATCAAAACAGCGCCAGGAATACGCGCGCGTCTCACAAACACACGTATTGTCCCACAAACGCACGTGTTTGCGTATGGTGGAATCTTAGCAATAATATCCAAGGGGTGGGTCTTAGCGGTTCATTGTGGTCGTTTGTCCAGTGGAAGATTCAATTTAAAAGGGGTACCTCATAAAACTTTCATTGATGCTCAGAAATGCATTTTCCTGTATTCTGAGACGGTTTTAAAATGACTTCATGTGTCTGATTTGAAATAAATAAAACCTTGGCTAATACAGGGACATGTTTTTTAGTAACAGAACACTGGTTTCTGTGGAAATATTTGACGAATGCAAACCCTGATTCATTGGCAGTACTGTTCTCCGAATACTCATAAACATTTGAAAGCGACAACCTAGGTTTCAAGAAAAGTGGTCGCTTTATGAAACTACTGAAGATAGGTAATACAAGCTAGTATTGCAGTATGCAAGAGGGTACACAAGCTAGAAAAGACAAACATGAACATAAAAAGATAAACAGGACTTGATCATTGTTTATATTTATCTACTTATTTATTTAAATGTATGTATTTGTTACAGACTGTTCAACGACTGAACTTTTAAATCCTAAATTGTCAAAGCTTCTGGGGCTTTGGGGTTCTGGGCAACCACTGACCAATGTCTATTTACTACATCCATCAGGTAAAATCAAGCACCACCATTGTTTATTCTGGGCTTCCCTATATACAACAGTAGTCTATCTATAAGTTAATAGGCTGGTTGTCTTTAGTCCATAGTCCAATTGATGTCTGACATACTCGCCTTACAGTAGCAGGGGTCTTAAGTCTCCTGCAATTCGTGGGAGTGTCCTGAAAATCAGGATAGCCTCCCACACTGCTGCTACTGGACAAGAATGTCCCAGAATAGAAAATAACCCATTTCCCGCAATTTAATTAAATCTGCATGTTTTTACTGATGTATTAGCTCTTTATTTTACTTGTCTCATGGAAGTCAGTATCAATTGGTATCGCCATAAGCAGCAAAACAAAATTAAATGTGCTAAGAAAGCTGGTTTAAACAGATCTCCTGGAAATGACAATTTGGGATTCCTGCATTAGACCATCGAATTCCGGAGTCTGCTTTATCAATTGGTTCATTCAATGTCCAATTCAACTGTTTCATTTGTTCTTAGTCCACCGAGATGCCGAGTCCTGGTGTACGTTTGTCCATATGTAGTAGCAAAGACAAGCCAAACCTGTCACTTGTCACAAAAATTGATTTTTAGTTATTAATACCGGGGTAAAGAGTAAAATGAGAGCTATAAAATGGTAAAATAATCATTTAAATACGACATTTCATTAAGAAGTTACAGGAGTTTAAACATACAGATGTTTAAAGAACAATATTTGAGAAACCAGCCTTCAAAGTTTATGATTTTTGGCATTTCTTAGGCAGAAACCATCACCAAATCGTTAAAAATCGTTGTTTTAACATTGAAAAAGGGGAAAATAGCAGCATGGCATGATGAATAATTATATAAAGGTTTGTTTAGTGCAATAAAATAGATATTCAAAAATGTTGACATTCCAGCTTCTTTTGGCCATTAGAGTATCTCAGAAACAGGAAATGACAAGTTGCTGGTTTGGCTTGTCTTAGCAACATATATCCATTTTTAGGAAAGGTGGTTTGGTATTAAAGATCTCCAAAAATGACATCTTTTAACTTGGGATCCCTGTATTAGACCATCAAATTCCTGATATACCTGAGTCTGCCTCATTAATTGGTTCGTTCAATGTCCAATTCAACTGTTTCATTTATTCTTAGCTCCCCGAGATGCCCGAGAAGTCCTGGTCTACCTTTGTCCGTATATCCTTTCTTTGGGGCAAGCGGTTTGGCACAGCGACCTCCATTCAGGATTTAAACCTTGTTGTCTAGGGTTTGAATCGCACGCTGTCTATTCTCCTATTCCAGTACTGGTCAATCCAGTAGAGCGTCTTCTAGAGTCTCATCATGAGCATTTACTATTTGATCTCCGTGTCATTTGTAAAATTGGATCTTAATTTAAATATCGTTGTTGAGGATTACGGTAACAGCAAATAAAAAGACTTCCACCAAATTCTGCTCACTCTAAGGCTGCTGAACATGACTTAAGGAGAAAATTCCATCAGTTATGGTCATCCTTCTCATTCTCCTCATCTGTAGAATCATCATAGTTTGTGTACACTTGGTATATGTAGTCATATAAACTAATAGTCTTATTTTCACATTTGCCATATTGCAGAATCACGTTCCAAAGAGAACCTAAAGAGTAAAGAAAAAAATGAAAGAAAAACATAATATATATACTGTCTCTTATACACATCTAGATGTGTATAAGAGACAGATGTTATACTGTACATGATGCGAAACATTAATAATCATTTTTATTATTATTATTATTATTATATTTAGAGAAATGGTGTGTTCCATGTCATGGGATCAGGATTTCGACAGTCTGGGGAAGACAAAAATCAGGTGAAATACATTCATATTACCTCAGGCGCGGATCTAGTAGGGGGAACGTTCCCCCTCCCGTTTCGCCACTAACTTTTAATAGTCTAATGTATATCAATTTTATATTAAAATAAATGCTACTCA